ACCGAGCAACCTGAAATTGTTAACAATCTCAATCTCTTCCCCATCTATGATGGTGCTGAAAATTGGCTCAGTGGTGAGAATCTTTGTTTTCTTGATGTTTAGCATCAATCCACATTGAACCTGAAATAATCTAATGGCTTTGTGTCTACCAAACTCTTAGAGGTTTCATTGCTGCATAATGATAAACCTGACCAGAGTCAACTCTCCTTGTTTACCTCTCTTCATCTTTGACACAAGATGATTTCTCAACTTTGAGTTTCCCTTCTTTCTGTTTTTGAACCACTCTTCATTTTAATTTCTTGGCTTCTAATACCAATAAGAAAAAGGTACTGGAATCAAAACAAGTTGTAAGAGTTGGAGTTTTATCACCCATGAAGGGCCAAGAAATGCACTTAAATCTGTAATAGATAAACTCCTTTCAAAAGGAACTTTTCAGTTCCTATCAAAAGCCTTGTGCTTAAGGGTTCTCTCACTGGTTTAGAGAAGCAGGAATTTTGCATCTTCCTGATCCTATATTTGAAAAAAAAATCAAAACTAGTCTAAATTTACACCACCACATTAACACAGAAATAGCATAATGGGCACCAATGTATAGCCATAATTCATGTTAAAATTAAAGTACTCCTCTCCAAACACATTACCCTCTCTGCCAAAAGTAACCACTTTTCTGAATCCTAGTCTTTATCATGCCCAGACAGATCTTTTTTTTTTCTTTTACTACATGTGTATGCTTCACTAAGCAATATTACACTTACTCCTAGTAATATTACACTTCTCTCTAGTATGGCTCCTACCTTGGAAAAAGACATCATGAAGGTCAGTGAAAGAGAAGATGACCCTCAAAAAGGAGGATTGACACAGGTACTAACATGATAGGGCAAGATTTAGACTCATTCACAGGATTGCTCTGAGTGGTGTTCAACCCAAAGTACCTAACAACAATAAAAACAAGTTCTCTCTCTAGTCTGGCTTCTACCCTTGATGGAAGGTCAAGGTCACTAAAGGACAATTCTATGTCTTTGTGCTACTTGAACCATCAGCAGCTCTTCAGAGTTACTTCTTCATTCATTCTCCTCCTTTGACTTCCAAAAACCAATCTCTCATTTGGGTTTCTCCAACTCTTCAAACCATTCTATTTCTGTCTCCTTTGCTGGCTACCTCTTCTCTGCTTCATCTCAAAATATTGGCATGTTTCATGACACATGCTCATCATCTCCTCTCTCTCTGTACTTTCTCCCTCTGTATTCTTAGTTTCATGACTTTCAAGTAGTAGTAACTGTTGTCGTTGTTAGATGCCATCAAGTTGAGTACAACATATAGCAACCTGATGAATAACAGATCTGACATACTAGAGTCCATTGCTGCAGTCACTGTGTCAATCCACCTGGTTGAAAGTCCTCCTCTCCTTTGCCAACCCTCTGAGTTTCCAAGCATGATGTCCCTCTCCAAACAAAAGCCTCTTCTAGAAACATGCCTGAAGTATGTGAGATGAAGCTTCATCATTTTTGCTTCCAAGGAGCTCTCTGGCTGCAACTTCTCCAAGGCATATTTGTTTGTTCTTTTGGCAGTCCATGAAATGATCAGTACTCTTCTCCAACACCACAGCTCAAAGGCATCAATTCGTCTGTTATCCTTATTAGCTGTAAAGCTCTAAAATGCATAGCAAGTGATTGGGAAGACCATGGCCTGAGTAAGAGGCACCTTAGTCCTCAAACTGACATCATTACTCCTCAATAATCTGGAGAAGTCCCTGATTGCTAACTTTTTTTTAGCAAAACAAGTGAAAAAGTTTTATTAAGGTAGTAAGACAAAGGCATAGCTAGTAAAAGGTAGACCACACATAAAAGCTTAAGTGAAAAAGAAGGAAAAGGGGTATGGAACCCTTGGAAAAGAAAGATGTGAACCCAGGCCTTACTGCATACTATTAGGAGAAAAGGAGAGAAAGAGTGAGAGCAACTGCAGACTTTCCTAGTGCAATACATCTGATTTCCTGACTGCTGGTACTAAGGGTGTTGATAGCGGATCCAAGTAAGATGAAGTTGTTAACAATTTCAATCTTTTCTCCATCTATCATGACATTGCCTATAGGTCCAGATGTAAGAATTTTTGTTTTCTTGAAGTTGAGATACAATCCATGTTGAATACTGTATTCTTTGATTTTCTGCAACAAGTGCTTCAAGTCCCCCTTACTTTCAGCAAGCAAGGTTGTCATCTGCATAATGCAGGTTATTGATGAGTCTTCCTCTGATCTTGAGGCCACATTCTTCATAGAGTTCAGCGTCTCGAATAATTTGCTCAGCATACAGATTCAATAGGTATGGACAGAGAATACAGTGCTGATGTGCTCCCTTCTTAATTTTAAACCATGTAGTGTTCCCTTGCTGTGGTTTGCACAACAGTCTCTTGGTATAGGTTTCACATGAGCACAATTAACTATTCTGGGATTCTCATTTTTCTCAATGTTAGCCATAACTTGTTATAATCTACACAGTCAAATGACTTTGCATTCTCTTTGATCACAGCCACAAAAGCAACAAAGGGAACATAATCATTTGGAAAACGTCACAATAAGATGTACACGTTGTGCCACCACTGTGACTCCAAGGTCTACCACCTCCAGAAAAGTCCACCTGTGGCAAGTGTGGTTACTTTGCCAAATGCAAGAGAAAGTATAACTGGAGTGCCAAAGCTAAAAGGCGAAATACCACCAGTACTGGTTGTATAAGGTACCTAAAGATCATACATTGCAGATTCAGGAATGGATTCTGTGAAGGAACAACACCTATTTCCAAGAGGGCAGCTGTTGCAGAATCCAGCTCATCTCAGGAATTCCAGTATTTAGTTCTGCAATAAATGTCCTGGCATTATTTTAAAAAAAAAAGACTTTACACAGTCAATAAAGCACAGAGATTCTCCTGATATTACTTTCAGGAAGGATCCACCTAACGTCAGCAATTATATCTCTGGTGCCATGGTCTCTTCTAAATCCAATTGAGAATTATTGTTAGGTACCATCAAGTCGACTATGATTCATGCTACTGTTGTTAGGCGTCATCATTAATTGAATGACTGATGGTGATCCTAGCAACAACAGATCTGAATTCTGTCTTATCTTGTCCATTCTCACAATCTCATGCCACATTCTTCGTTTTGAGACTCCAGCCTTTCAAATTATTTGCTTGGCATACACACTGAATAGGTATGGAGAAAGGATATGGATTTGCTGCACACCTTTCTTGATTTGAAACCGTACAGTGTTCCCTTGCTCTGTTTGGATGATAGCTTCCCCCCCTTATTTAGCTTTAATTTATTGTAAGAAAATGCTTTCAATCTTCTCAATGAATTAAAAGTGCACAGGCAGTAAGAGAAGGTGATTACAAGGAAGAAAGTGTTGTGAATAGAGATTGGTTCAAGAAACTGGTGTCAAAGTTATAGTCATACTAGTCATAGTTGTATTCACACTTCATGGTGGATTATAGCTTTTAGATTGGATAGACTCAAAGTCACATTTTGGTTCTTATGGACTTTTCATTTTCTTCAGTTTCAATTTGCACTTGCACCTGAATAACTGATGGTCTGCTCCACAGTTAGCACCTGGCCTCGTTTTGACTAAGCTTCGAACAATTTTCCCCCCCTACAGATGTAGTCAATCTGATTCCGTGTGGTCCCAGATAAGTTTCATATGTATTGTCGCTGCTTGTGTCTGCAACAAATATATCCGATGAGGGAGAGAATAGTTTAAAAGTAATATATTTTAGGGCATTATGATTATAATAAGAGTCTGGAATGAGAGTTGCAGAGTGGAGTATACTTGGGGTGGGGGTTTGCTGGGGGGCGGATTGTATACCAATGAAGGAGGTGTGTGTGTGTGTGTGTGTGTGTGTGTGTGTGTGTGTGTGTTTGCTTTTCAAGGAGAAGAGCGAACTGGGGGGGTGGGGCGGGGAGAAAAGTGCCACAATGAATGAATGAAAATCCAAAATCTCTGTAGATGTTCATTGAAAACCTGAGTGCACTTGTGACTGTTTTAACCATCACAATATTTTGAGCATGTTGCTAAGACAGGCTATTCCTTAGGGAGGAATCATGCTGGAAAAGGTGGAGGGAAGGCAAAAGATAAGAAGGCTTTCAACCAGATGGATTGATACAGTAATAAGCTCCAATGTTTTGGAGATTGTGAAGGATAAAAATAACTGGTTCAGATTTGTCATTCATAGAGTCATTATGACTCATACTCAACTAGCTGGCACATAAAAACAGTACTATGGATGTTATATTATGTAAACTCAAATGTTTGGTTATAAAAATAAAATGTTCACTCTTCACTGATGAATTAAATAAACACTGAAACTAAGCTTCAAAAAAAAAAAAGAAAATAATAATAAAAAAAGATATCTATGACCATAACCAATAAATTATAACATACAATAAAAAAAAACACTAAAAAAATACAAAAGTAAGCCGTTCAATCTCCAGCCTCATTTCTGTCACCATGTCTGTAATTTCGGTCTACCACGGATGTTTGTAATAACCACGAAAAGTTAGCATGCTTCCCTTGAGCAAAGAATACCGAGCAAAGTTTCTGAGGTCAACGAGTTAGAAACTCGAAAAAAAAGTAGAATTCCGACTCACGTATATGACTCTAGTGTCTTCATTCGCAAACATTATAAATAAATTTTAGAGGTACCCAGGAATACATTAAACTAGAAATCGGAAACCTAAACTCTCAAAGGCTGGCGAGCTCCCAGCACAGCGCGCACGTCACGTGAGCGTAAGGGGCGGTTCTGACAGCGAAAGAGACTCTGGAGACTACAAATCCCGGAAGCCTCAGCAGAGCGTCCTCCGGTACGCCCTCGGCGACGGCGTGATGACGTATGCGGAGACGCTGGCGCGCGGGATTTAAACTGCGGCGGTTTGCACGCACTGCGTAGATTTAGAGGGGTTAGCCAATTTGTGTCATTTGTTGCTTGACCTTCCTCATCACGGCTGGTCCACCGATTACCATGGACTCGTCTCTTCAGAAACGACTATTTCCCGGTCTCACCATCAACATCCAACGCAGTAACGGTGAGGGGCGGGATCGTAAGGGCGTGAAAACCCCAAGGCGGTGAGATGGTTTGAATTACTGCCCCGCCCCCAAACCTCAGGTTTTCTGCGCTGTTGGGTTTTCCTACCCGGTGCTAGGGCCCTCTGCGCTGCCTGGTAGCATCTGCCCGCCTTCCGGTAGAGGGATGATTTCCTTACAGGTTTTGGATTTCTCAGACAGTTAAAGTTTGCTCTAAAATAGTCTTGAAACTGCCTTGCTTGTGTAAAGGAAATGGGTTTCCTGGCGACCGTTTTCTCCGATAAATATAGCACACTTCCAAGAGTCAGGCATTGGGGATTCTGCAGTAAACCAACAACCAAGATTTCTTGCTCTTAAGGGACTTGCAATCCTGGCTTCTTTTTTTGGTTAAGCTACTCCAAATCCGGGCAGATCTGATCCTCGTGTCATTAAGAGAATAATCAGGCATGGCTGCCAGGAATAAGTTCGAGAAGCCCAGGGGGGGCTGGCCATAATGCTGTGTTAAGGAGCAGTTTACCTAAGGATTATAATGACTCCCCTGTCCAAACATACCTTCTACCCCACTGTATGCCCTCTTTTAAGTGAGAGTTAACTCCTTAACACAGCTCTCTTGAGACCTCTTCCCTACCCATCTCACTGTGAATGTTCTATGAGCGTTGCTTCCAGGACGTTTATCTCTCCATTGCTTAAAAAGAAAGGCAGCTGGAAATCTAGAAATGACATGTCAGTCCACACACACAGAATAGATGGGTAACTGGGCTTTTCTTGCTACAGGTTTAATTCACAGTGCCAGTATAAGGACTGTGAGCAAGGAGAAATCCTGTGTTACAGTGGAATGGACAGAAGAAGGTATCCCAAAGGGCAAAGAGGTAGGTTCTGTGAGATAGCACCTGTGTTTAACATCTTCCTACGTAGAGTCATATGTGGAAAGGAATCCAGTAGGAGTCTTGTTTTGGGTGGTTTTTTTCCCCTAATCTTAAACTTGAAATGAGCAGTGTTTGGATACTTTTGGACTTTGGCCTTTTGTTTTTGGTTTTTAAATATTATGTTTTTGCGGTGACGGATTTCACAGTGGTTTAGGTTTGAATTCAACATTCTACACAAAGTGTTTATTGACTTTGATTACATTATTCATACTGAATGACTGCATCTCCTTATTTCCATTCCAGTTTTGTTTCCATTAATTTAGTTTTCCTGCCCTCTTACATTCACATTCCTCTTTTTTAAATATCATTGTCAATCTCAACTGTTTTGGTATCATAGGTGATTTTTTTTATATAGGTTATGTTTTTTTAATAGGTTCTTTTTTTTTTTCCAGACTTTACCTCTTTTTATTCACAGTTGTGGGGTTTAGTGGGGAAACAGGTTGTGGGAGGTAAGGAGGGAAGGCAAAATATATCACATAGTGAAAGTTTAAGTTCAGTCCAGCAACACAAATGTGAGAAACAGCAACACAAATACAAACAGCTTCTACAGTTAGCAACTTCCTTCCAGCAATAAAACCTCTGTCTCTGTCTCTGTCTGAGGCCTCTATTCCTTTTTTTTTTCTTCTAATTATATTTTATTAATTTTCATAAACATTTACAGAGATTTTGGGTTTCCATTCATTCATTGTTGCACTATTCTCTCTACCCTCCTCCCAGTTTGTTCTTGTCCAAATGCCACAGTGCTTGTCAAAACCAGTTCTGATTAATCTTCTTTGTCAGTGTGTCCTTTGCCATTCCCTATCACTCCTCCCTGAGAGAGACTTCACCCTGAGTCATAAGGAAAAGGGGATGGCGTATTCTCTTAGCTACTTCCTGCTGAAAAGGGACGCTGTGGGTTTCAGGGTGAAGATCTTCTCTCACTACTCTAAAGGGCCCCTTTGGCAGTAGGAAACACATAGACTATTATGGAGATTGATTTTGGAATTCAGATGCACTCTTATTGATTGTGCTTGGCCGTACATGTTCATATCCTTGAAGACGTATCATGGGGGTGTTACAACCTAGAAGACACAAATTTGACTAACAAGTTATAAGTACATGAGTCAAAAATTATGGAAAAGTAAAAGAAAAGATTCTTTCATTGTTTTACAAACCCTCCCCCAGGGCCCCTCCACCATGTAGCCCTCGCTCTAGACTCCTGTGATGACAGAAATACCTAGTTATGTATCTCTTTTAAACAGTTTTCTCCCTCCTCTGTTTCAGTGCAGTATACATTACTGAACCCATCTTACTCAGTCTCTCCCCAACCCCAAGGACAGTCCCATTCTACAACAGTGGCATCATGTAATATTTGTCCTTTTGTGACTGGGATATTTCACTCAGCATAATGTTCTCCAGAGTCAACCATTTTGAATAATATTGCATGAGTTCCTTGTTTTTTAATGCAGCATAGTATTCCATTGTGCGAATATACCACAGCTTCTCTAGCCATTCGTTTGTTGATGGGCACTTAGGTTGTTTCCAACTCCTTGCTATTGTGAACAAAGCTGCAATAAACATGGGTGTGCATATATCTGCTTGGATGTCAGCTATGGTCTCTTCAGGGTATATTCCCAGTAGTGGAATTGCTGGGTCAAATGGTATCTCTATTTGCAACTTTTTGAGAAAGCGCCATACTGCTTTCCGCAGGGGTTGCACCATTTTACACTCCCACCAACAGTGAATCAGGGTTCCAGTTTCTCCACAACCTCGCCAGCATTTGTTGCTTGCTGTTCTGTTAAATTTTGCTATTTTGACTGGGGTGAAATGATATCTCATAGTTGTTTTAATTTGCATCTCTCTTAGGGCTAGGGATTTTGGGCATTTCTTCATGTGCTTGTTAGCCATCTGAATGTCGTCTTCAGTGAAGTGCCTGTTCATATCCTGTGCCCATTTTTCTGTTGGATTATTTACCTTTATCTTGTTGTGGTGCTAGGTTCTTTTTTTTAAAGGAGCACTTATGAGTGATCGGTAAGTCAGTCTGGTACTTAGCTACAAGATGAGTTCGCTAAGAAAAAAAAAAGATGAGCTCTCTGAATTTCTGTTCAGTGTTTAAAAAGTATTTCAGGGCAGCAGTCTTCAGAAGTCCTCTAGTCTTAACCAGTCCAACAGTTTAGTTTTTGTTGTGCTTGTTAGGAATTTAAGGTCCTGTTCCATGTCTGTCTTCCATTCTATCAGGCCATCTGTTGTGGGCCTGAGTAGAAGTTGGTAGGGGTAACCAAGTACCATCTAGTTCCTCTGGGGTCCTGTTTCAAATGGAAGCAGTTAACAGCATCTGATATATTTATAAAGTAAACCTCTTGTGATGAATGGTACATATGAGAGTGCTGGGGTGGATTTAGTAAGATGGCTCAGGATGCTTGGCAACAGCAAAAACACTAAAAAGAGATTGAAGAGTCTTCATGTTTGGCACTAAAATGTTTTCATTTTAATAGTTTATTGTACTTGTGTGGTGGTAATCGTTGTGGTTTTGTACCATAGAGTCAGAACCGACTCACAGCTGGCTCTCTAATGGGTATTCAGAGGCTGTAAATCGCACATGGAGCTGCTGGTGGATATGAGCTGTGTTCCTTTAGATTAACAGTGCAGCTCCGTACCATTAAGCTACCAGAGTTCCCCTGTATATTTATTTCTAGAAAGAGACTTGTATTGCCTCACGATGCTGAAAACTAGTAATTTGAATTTTGGATGTTGGCAGGGTCATGTTCTCCTGAAGACTGTAAGGAAAGAAAAATGGTCTCAGATCCTGTTAACCTTGGCTTACAGTTATTCACAACATCTCTGCTTTGTCATATGACTTCTTGGTGTAGATGTGTGTGTTTTGAGGTTTTCTCCTCCCTGTAGGTAGTAAGGAACTTGTGAAGGGTTTAAGAAGAGGTCGTAGGACCAAGGCATTTTTGTTTTAGAGGCATTATTTGTAGTGAAAAGATCAAACAGATTAGGACTGTGAAAACTTGGATTCTGTCTAGCTCTGCCACTACTCAAGTGTGCCACTGCACAATTTTCTTTCCATCCTAGAAATTTAGTTTACCTTATCTGTAAAGTACGGCTGATGATGATGATAAATCCTGTGAGGATTTATTTAGCAAAGGCCCAGTTGCAAAATGCTAGATAATGTATTTTGTCCTGTGGATACAGAGGTGAATAAGACAAATTTTGTTCCTTCTTCATGGAATATAATAAGCTAACACATGTAAAGGTCTTGTTTAGCACAGAGCCTTGCAATAGTTATATAAATTCTGTGTGAAGAATAGAGGAATAATTTACATTAGTTGGTCCTCAAGAATCATGAGGTTCCTAACATTTATATTAGTCAGTTGCTAGTAATGTCCCTTGAGTTTTATTATTGATGTGGTTTGTTAGTACACCTCTTGTTTGAATCTCACCCCAATTCGATTATTACTTTTATCTCACATGTGAAAATCAGTTAATATGATAGCTAGGATTGTATGTCACCTATGTCATTATGTTCCCTCTAATGAGCCAGTTAATCACATGAGAGATTACCCATCCTTCTGCTGAGCAGCTGGTGGATTCAGACTGCATGCCTTTGGGATACAGCACAGCTTCCTGGCTGCCAGAGCTCCCTAGAGGGGTACATAAGTGTCAACATTATATACAGAAACAACAATTCATTGCTGTTGAATCAGAACCAACTCATAGCTGACCCTCCAGCAAGATTTTAGAGGCTGTAAATCACACAGGAGGAGATTACCCATCTTTCTCCTGAGGAGCAGTTAATGGATTCAGACTACTTGCCTTTACGTTTGGGTTGACAGTGCAACTCCTTGCCAACAAAGGCACCAGAGCTCCTTCAGTGGTATATGGACATTGTTATATGTTACTGAGTCATTTACCAGTTTTTGCATTTGGTGATTCTTTGCTCTTTGTCTTACCCATGCTGCTTTGGTTTCTGGTCCTCTGCATAAAATTTGCTTCCTCATTAGGCTTGAGCTTCCTGAAGGCAAGGGCAATGCAGTCTTAATTTACCTTTGACTGCCTTTGAGTTGTGGTGCTGGAGAAGAGTACTGAATATTCTGCAGACTGCCAAGAGAACAAACAGGTTTCAAGAGAGGGTGAAGCCAAGTTGCTCTTTGGAGGCAAGGATTTTAAAGCTTTGTCTCATATGCTTTGGATATGTTGCCAAGAGGGACCAGTCTTTAGAGAAGCACATCATACTTGGAAGAGTGGAGGGATGATGGCACAGGAGAGGAAGACCCCAGATGAGATGGATTGACACCGTGACTGAGGCAGTTGGGGCAGATGTGTAAAAAACAGTGAGAGGGCTCAGGATAGAGCAGGATTCAGTGCTATTGTGCATAGGGTCACTCATCACACTCAACAGCATATAACAACCACCACCTTTTCTCCAGCAAGTCTTGTTGTCGTACTCAAGCCTAGTAAATGTTTGGACAGATCAGTTAATAAATACAGGTTGTACTTCTAAGAGAGGAAAGCTCTAGCTCTTACTACATTTTAGCTCTGACATATTTTTAAAATACAAATGTCCAAGTTGGTACTAATATGATATATTTGAACCTGCTCTGAAGTTAATGCTAATGAAGGTTGAGTTGTTCCTAGAGGCCTACAGGATGCTAATGATGTAAACCTAGAATTATGACCTCATTGTAGGCATAAGTAGGAAGCTGCACTGGGAAAGAAATTTTGGGGCCCAGTAGAAAATGTAGGTAGACTTAGGGTTAGGTATCACCTGTCAGTAACTTGTCCCTGTCCATAAGATCCTGTAGAGCTTTCCATTCTGACTCTCACTGGGACAGTTAGGACTTGTTTCCTCCTCCTCTGTCAGGTCCCAGCCAGGCCCCACTGCTCAGCAGAACAGTAAGGAACCAGGTGGCCTGGATCTCCTGTGGACTGCCTCACTATTTACCTTCCTCTTCACCTCCTTCTCATTACTGACATCTACCATTGGCTTGGAAATCAGAAACCTATATCCATCTAGATGGTAAAGGATATTTTATGTTATTAGTATTTAGTGGACATTAAAGTTGGCAAAATCTGAATCTTGAGGTAACCCATGTCTTTCTTAGTGATACTTTAACAAAAATACAAGTAGGTACCTTTAACAAATACATTTATTTTATCACAGTTTAAGAGTCAAAAATCCCAAACCAGGCTCTATGTTCTCTTGGAGGGGAAATCCCTTTTATTCTTGTTTCTCTCTGTGCCTAATTAGTTTTTTTTATGTCTGAAAAGTGACTAAGGCACAGCATATACTGATATAGCCTGACCAGTATAACAAAGAAAACCCTGTAATCAAATACCTATAGTTAACAGGGATTAGGATTTACACCTTCTTTTTGAGGAACACAAATTAATCCCACACTTTGCAGAAATGAATTTAAGTTGTATAAGGTATGATTTTTCCAGAGAAATCTGTATTTGTTTCTTGTAGATTGATTTTGATGATGTGGCATCAATAAACCCAGAGCTCTTACAGCTGCTGCCCTTACCCTCGGAGGATAAACTACCCCTGCAGGAGAATGTGACAACAGTCCAGGTAGGTACTTGTTACCTGGCTGCAGCCAGTGTCTTCAGATGCTACCTGGCAGGTTGGCTTCCTGCTGGTTTGTTTCCTGGGACTTTCTTGGGATGATAGTGTATCAACAAAATACATGAGCCCTAAAAAAGCCCCTTACAATTTCTGAGAGCTATTTATTGTTGTGGTTTGTTTTGATTTTCAGAAACAAAAACGGAGATCCATCAACTCCAAAATTCCTGCTCCAAAAGAAGGTAAGTGCATTTTTTTCTGACCTATCTTGAGGTTTGTGCTCGAAGTCTTGCGGCTCAGAGCTAGGGAAGCTACGAAGTAAACAGACTGTTCCACGATAGCCAGTGACTTCTTTGTGGGCTCAGTCCTGTCCTCTGTTCAAGCATCTTTTGTAGAAAAATCCAACTTCATCCCTTAGGCCAACCTCTGAAGGATCTTAGTGCATTTGTGAATTAACTGACTGGCATAGAAGCCTTTCTGTAAAATCCAGAGCCTGTTACTGGGGGACATAGGGGATCAGTTGTTGGCAGCTTAGCTGGGCTAACTTCCCTCAGGTCTTAGTATTTTTAAGGGGAAAATGTGCTTTAGATTAAGATTTGCTCTTAGACTTTTGGGGACAAAACCCAGGTACTTATATCATGGCTGTTGAGAAGTAATGGTGCTATGGAGAGCTGGTTGGGGTTTAAAAAAAACAGCAACAGTGCCTCTGAATCTGTACTCTGCAAAATTAGTCATTATAAGCATACTTTGAATACAGTGGTCTTTGACTCTAGGGAGGTGGTCATGGGTACAAGCTGCTCAAGAAATTCATCACTAACAATCTAGCTACCTCAGAAGTCTCCTGGATATTTTCTGAACATTCATATTCCTGGGGAGGAGATTGTTTTGGCATGGTTGTGCTATTCCTGCTTAGGCTGGGCCTAAGTCAGGTGGTGCTAGCCCTCTCTTGCTGGCTATATTGTTAAGGATTTCAGAAGAGATGGCGGTGGTAGTGGTACCACTACATGGATGTCCTTAAAGGGGACTGCTGCAGATCCTTTTAATTGACAGAACTGTCATAAATGTGCTTAAAGTGGAAAGGAAATAAAGATTACAAGTAATTTGAGAAACAGAAGAATATTTACTAATTCACTCTTTTTATAAAAGACACATGCATACAGCCTAAATTTAAGACTTAGAAATTTGTTACAACTTCATGTTTGCTTTGTCACATCATGTATTGTTGCCCGATTTCTGACTAGTATTTTATGAGTGAGTTGTGTGTTTCTCTCTCATGAGGCAAACTGTGTGTGCGCATTATTGTTGTTGTTAGGTACTGTCGAGTTGGAAGTCTCATCATTTACCTCTAATGAGCTTTTAGAGGCAATGGATTTCACGAAAGGAGATTGCCCATCTTTCTCCCATAGAGGAACTGATGTCCATGTCTTTGGATTGGCAACACAGCTCCTTACCACTCAACTTACTAGGTAGAAGTTGATAAAAATTGAGTATAATTCAGTAGTCTCTTGTTTCAACATTTAAAGATTTCAGAAAATCAATCTAATTGATTCTTAAGGGTTTCTGATGGCAAGGCCCAGGCCTAACTCTGTAAAACATTCAGGAACAGTAGAAAAAGTCTAGGCTAAGTCTGACAGAGCCATGGGTTCACATTCTGGTTCTGCCATTCAGTAGTTGAGTGACATTGAGTAATTTACTTAATGTCTTTGAGTCTTAAAGTCTCCGTTTTCCGTGTACAAATGTCCATACTTACCTTTGGTGGTTTTGAATATAGGAAAGGCTATATGTTCAATGATAGTTGCTGCTGTCATTATTAAAGTAGTAGTGTGTTTCTCTCAGGAACTTGGTTTAGCTTTATTTCTATGGAAATTACTCAGATGGGTTGTTGGTCCTTCCATTTACTCAAGAGAGATGCTCTTCTGAGAAATACTCTTCCCCTCAGGAGCTCCCAAAATTGTAGAATATGGACAAAAAGTTTTGGAGTTGCTAGTACTTCACCTTTCAGTTTTTCCTTTGAGTGAAGAGAATAGGAAATTGATAGGACCCATCTCACTCTTTAAGGTTCTCCTTAAAGGATTGTCCCTGACCCCTCCATTGACCCTTCTGATCTTGCTGCACTGACTGGCTGCTGCCCTTGGTTCTTCAGTTCTTTGTGGTCGGTCCACTCGCATGTCGACTATCTCAGAGGCTCGCATCACCACTCAGGAGAACGAGATGGAGGTGGAACTGCCTGTGTCTGCAAATACCCGGAAGCAGCTCTCCATTCCTAGTGAGTAGCAAGCAGCTTTGCAGTCCTGTGTGAGGACCTAGAGCAGGCATCATACACATTGCCTTGTTCTGGAATAGTCTTTCACTCCATGGGCTTCAGTTCATCCTTATATGGATTAATTTCATTTCCTTTTTTTTCTCCTTAAACTCTTTATTAATGTAATACGTGTATGCAGAAAGTGCACAGATCATTGGGTGTATAGCTCAATGAATTTTCACAGATTGAACACATAAACAACCAGCTCAAACAAAACGTTACTAACATTCCAGCAATTCCCCTCAGCCCCCTTTCCAATTCCTTATACCCCCTAAAAGTAACTACAATTTTCACTTCGAACAGCATAAGTTAGGGTTTTTTCTTTTGTATTTTATATAAACAGAATTTTTAAATATAAGGAAATTGCTCTTGTAAATTTTAACACAAAAAGTGTAGGTAGAGCTTTTGTAAGATACATTACCTCTTATAAATGTATCAAGTTCAGCTCTAAAACATATAAAATGGGGAGGGTGTAGGTCATGGCCAGGTGTGGTTAGTAATCAGTCTGTATAGATTGTATCTTTGTGTTGCATCAGCATGGCTAATCATCGCCAGGTTCATTTTTGCTGTTCAGTCTTTGCTCCTGTTGTTATTATGTACCATTGAGTCACTTATGACTCATAGAGACCCTATGTACAAGAGCCCTAAACCCTGCTCTATCCTCTGCCAACCTCACTTTCTCTGACAAACCTGCTCCCATTACCCCAATCACTGAATCGATCCATCTCATCGAGGGTCTTCCTGTTAGCCATCTGTATTCCCAAGGCTTTGGAGAACGCTGGAGAGGGCTCACCTGGCCTGAGAACCCATGTTTGGGTCAATTCAAAGACTTCAGGCCTTCAAAGCTTTTCCTTTCATGGCTAAGCCCACATTCTTTAATGACCTCAAGAGTCAGCCCTTGCAAAGAAACTGGTTGGACTCAGTGTGTGTCTGTGATGATGGGGAAAGCCCCAGCAGCTCTCCTCCTGACCCCTGGGCTGTAGGACATGATGAACACAGCTGCAGAATGCCTGCCTGCTTCTCCAGTGTCTCTTGTTCCCTTACAGCTGGCCCCTCTAGGCCCTCCTGCCCTGCAGTGACTGAAATACCATTGGCGATGGTCAGCAAGGAGTTGGAAGAGCAAGTCCATTCCATCCGAAGCAGCTCTTCTGCAAACCCCGTGAACTCAGGTAAGACACACTTATCGGTCTTCTGTCCTGCTCCTATAAAAGAAGAGGTAGTTAATGACCTGGCGCAAACCTGGCCTGCCTTGACACCTGATTCAGACCCCTTTGGTTACAGGAGAGCATGCATGTTTCACTGTGGTCATTAGATTCATTATCTGATCCCAAGAGGGTTTCAAAGAGGAGACTACAGCCTCACAAGCTGGCAGAAGCCTTTTGACGTGGCCGAAATTGCCACAGTTAGGCTCTTCTCCAAAGGAGCCTAGAATGACTGTCAGACAAAAGCAGGGGCTGTCTTAGCTTTCTGTGGCTTGAGAAATCAACCACTGAGGCAAAGCTTGAGTTATTACATTATCATGTTGTTCACCCCAAGGGTCACCTCTTGTTTCCTTGCCTTGTATATGGTGATTTAAAGGCAAGAATCTAGAAAGTTCCATTTCTAATAAAAAAGCCTAGGAGTCAGTAATAACAGAAGAGCAGAATGGCCTTGACAGATCAAAGAGCGAGCTTTCTTTTTTTCCCCCCCATAGTTCGGAGGAAATCATGTATTGTGAAGGAAATGGAAAAAATGAAGAACAGGCGAGAAGAAAAGAGGGCCCAGAACTCTGAAATGAGAATAAAGCGAGCTCAGGTACCTTTCTTTGGAAAGAATATTTTAAACAGGCATCGTTAACTGGATTTTAGCAGGCAAGAGATACAGTTAGGCCCCAGCATTTTTGAGGCTCCACATGTAGCCAAGAATATCAGGGAACAAATTATGCAGAATTTTTCTCTTCAAAACCCTCAGGTAAAGAATATTTGATGCTAATTGTTCTTTAGTCAAGCTCCCCCAACTCATACTCCCAGATATGTGTATGTGCTGTAGTGAGGTTCTAGTATGTAGCATTTCCCTTTAATTGAGATCCTGCTAACTTTCTAAGAGATGGGACAGTAGTTCTGACTCCAGTTCCTAGGGTGGGTTTGAGGCATGTGTAGAGGGCCCACTTCCTATCCCTAGGGCTCATTTCCTGGGTTCTTATCCTATAGGCATGGTGGGGAGAGATACTGAGAGCTTTGTTAGTTCTGAGAGACATACGTACTTTGAGAGCTGCGGTGCTGTCATTAGCACTGAAGACTGAGAACACTTCTGTCTTAACACTGTCCTGTTTGGCTGTTATCCCAAACAGGAGTATGACAGCAGCTTTCCAAACTGGGAATTTGCCCGGATGATTAAAGAATTTCGGACTAATTTGGAATGTCATCCGCTTACTATAAGTGATCCTGTAAGTAAATATGAAGGATTTCTACCTTTGTAAGACAGTAAGACCATTCTAGGAATTGTCATTCACCGTTGTAGACTAGAGCTAGTGAGGCCAGGCGGGAGGGGGGTCCGATATTAACGGCTATGTGTCCCGCTCTCCTTTCTGCTACCATAGCCTTACTAGAGCTGAAACCTGTAAACAGCAGAGAGACCTTTTCTTCTGGAGCAGCTAGTGAGTGTGGCGGGAGTCCTAGTCTTAGATGTTGGCCCTGATTGGGCCACATGTAGGAGTGGAGGGCAGAGGTTCTAGACAAGTCTTTTTTAACACAACTCTGTCAGTAACCACTGTCTCCTCATCCTTTCTAAGATTGAAGAGCACAGGATATGTGTCTGTGTTAGGAAACGTCCACTAAATAAACAAGGTAAGCCTGACTTAGTGAAAGATTTAGGCCAGACTAGGAGTTCCTCTATATCCAAGAGCACTTCATGAAATACTCTTGTTTCTGCAGAATTGGCCAAGAAAGAAATTGATGTGATTTCTGTTCCTAGCAAGTCTCTCCTCTTAGTACATGAGCCCAAGTTAAAAGTGGACTTAACAAAGTATCTAGAGAACCAGGCATTCTGCTTTGACTTTGCATTTGATGAAACTGCCTCAAATGAAGTTGTCTACAGGTTAGTCCCTTATCTTCTTCAGTCCACTCTTTCTCCTCTCTTCTTTTTGACCTGTAGGAAATTTTAGTGACACTCCTTACAGACATGCTGTGCTCTTCTTGAGGGCCTTTCTGGTCCCTTCTGGCATTTTCTTTGGTTATCTCTCACATAGAACTAGCTCTGACTCTTGGCACCTAGAATGGCCCCATTTGAGCCTATCATATCCCATTGTGAAGCTTTGGTGGCCACTCCTGAGAGGGTCACCTTCAGGAGTCCTTCCTTTGTCTATCTGCAGCCACCCACATGACTTAGCAGGCTCAGGACATTCAAGAGCTGGTCTGTCCAGTAGGGTACCCACAGACCACCTATAACTATTTAAACCTAAAGCTAAATTTAAAAAATCCAGTTTCTCAGTTGCACTATAGCACATTCCAGGGGTTTCATAACTACCTATGACTGTGGCTAATACTGGACAGCACTAATTTAGGTGTTTCTGTCATCACAGAAAGTTCTCTTGAGCAGAAGCCTGCATACTGGCCTATGGAGCAAATCTAGCTCACAACCCCTTTTCATACAGTTCTCAAACCAAGAGTGATATTTACATTATAAAAAGTGGTAAAAAAGAAGTAGAACATATGACAGAGATCTGTGTGGCCTACAAAGAATAAAATGTAGAACTTTAGAACATTTTTGCTGGTCGTTGTAATGCACCTTTTGCTAGAAGTTTGCCGCCAAGCTCAGGATGTCATCTTGTATGTCTCTAATATCAACTAACTTGTTGATAACTTGGGGGCTTTGAGTTTGCTTCTGTCAGGTCACATCAGGCCTCCCAGTCAGCTAGGAGTGTGTCAGATTTATAAGTAGGATTGAGGTTAGGTGGGACCACTTTGCGTATTGCTCAGAAACCACTGAGGCAGGAGAGCTGTGCCAGAGCTAGAGAGAGGACTAGCAGACTCGGGGCACTCTACATGAAGGGCACATTTTAGGGAGAAATAGAAATATTCTTTACATCCTTTCTTCTAGGTTCACAGCAAGGCCACTGGTACAGACAATTTTCGAAGGAGGAAAAGCAACCTGTTTTGCATATGGCCAGACAGGAAGTGGCAAGACACACGTGAGTATTTTAGGCCTGGCAGGGAGAGAACCCTCCCAGAGTACAAAATTGAATCTCCTCAGCACAGCTGCCTGTCACCAAATAACTCACCAGGCTGGATATAGCCTCTCCTAGATGTAGTGAGACCCACTGTGGTGCTGGAGCCAGTGATCTGATTCAAAGAACCATTTACACAGTCTTCTGTCTCTTCCTTTGCAGACTATGGGTGGAGACCTCTCAGGAAAATCCCTGAATGTGTCTAAAGGGATTTATGCAATGGCTTGTAAGTAGTGTGTTCTGTTGTGGTTGAGTTTGATATAGAAAGACCAAACTTGAGGTGACTTACTTACCCAAGTTCTTTCTCACAGCTCGAGATGTCTTCTACCTGAAGAACCAGCCACGATACCGAAACCTGGGCCTTGAAGTCTATGTAACATTCTTCGAGATCTACAATGGAAAGGTTGCTAGCAGGGATCCGTCGTCTTCTGCTATTAGGGCCCCTGAACTTTCTAAAACCTTAAAGTTGAAAGAAGTTACAGAAGCCAAAACTATTGACTGAAAGTTCTGTTACAAAGCCTCTGACAAGTTGTTCTACCTTGGCATGTGTGGGAGATTCCTCTGACAGTGGGACAGCACCTCAGCTCAGCCAGAATGGCAGGGTTGCTCTTCAGGGCTACCTCAGAGGGAAGGCTTCCCCGGCTTATGCCCTGTTCTCCCCACCCACCTCCCTCCTAACTTTCTCTTACTCCCCTGCTTGCACACATTTATATTCTATTTCTCTACCTCTCTCTCTCTCTTTGCTTTCTAAGTTGCCTTTCCTAGAGAGGGCTCTAATTGATAATAATACCTAATGTTCAGGGCTAGTAGTTGTCATATACCATCAAGTCGGAACTGATCCATAACTGACCCTCCAGCAGGTTTTCAGAAGCAGTAAATTACATGGGAGGAGGTTGCTCCTCTTTCTCCCACAGAGCAGCAGGTGGATTTGAACAGCTTGCCTTCGGGTTGGCAGCACAGTTCCTTACCACTAGGGCACCAGAGCTCCCTTTAGTAGTAATTATAGGATGAGATTATAGAGTAAGGTCTATTTTAGCTACTTGTTTCAACTGATTTAATCATCACAACAGCCCTGTGAGGCAAGGATTAGCATCACCAATGAGAAGCAGGCTTAGTGTGGTGGTCGGGTTACATGTCCAGGCCCACACAGCTAGTAAAGTACAGAGTTGCATCAAAGGGAGGCCGCCTTGTTCAGAATCCCAATTGTTTGACCCATCACTAGCCTGGTATCTACCCGGCGAGTAAACTCTTGCTTTTCCCAGTGCCAGCCCTTGTCTAATCGGGACAGGCTTAAAGGAAGGAGTTAGGTGGGTTGGGTGCCTGACTGATTGAGTAAGCCTGACTCAGCCTTACACTCTTTGCTGGAACAGCTGTTTGACCTGCTCAACAAAAAAGCCAAACTACGTGTTTTGGAGGATGGCAAGCAGCAAGTCCAGGTGGTGGGACTGCAGGAGCACCTGGTTAACTGTGCTGATGATGTCATCAAGATGATCGACATAGGCAGTGCCTGCAGGTCAGAGTTGTGGTGAGGGGAAGGGGGGATCACCTCCCTAATACCTGGTTCAGGTGGTAGAGACTTAAGTTTAAGCCCACTGCCAATTCACAGGATGCCTCATCCCTTGTTTGGTGTGAGGGTTGTGAACCGCCCTCTGTGAAGCAGGTCACCAGGGCTAGAGACTCATGACGAGCAAGTCAAAGTATCTTAACTAGTTAACCAATAACATTTAACCAATGTGGGCTTTTCCCCCAGACTGTTACACCACAGGCATTCTTCCTGGCACCTCTGAGTTTCTTTTTATTCCTTCCCCGCTTACTGGGAAACTGGAGTACTGGGTCTGTTTTAGGCTGGAAGTTACAGGCCCATAACTCCTCTGCACAGAGGTAGGAAGTATGTTTCTGCTAGGAATGTGGGTGGGGTGGGTGGCTGTAATGATAGAGCCTGCTTGGGTCGGGCAGTTTGTGGAGACTGCTCTCTGCAGGGCCCTCGGGTTCTGGTAGGTAGTTCATGAAAACCGCTCCTTCCCTGGATGCCCTGCATCAGGACCAGCACATCCTTCCCAGAAGCACAGGAAAAGCTAGTGCTTTGACAACTAGGAAAATTCATTAGGTCTAGTGCTAGGGGACTTGCTGTATAGGGAGGCCAGAAAAGAACGCTGAGTCAGGAAGATACTTCGTGTTTTGGAGTTCTGACTTGTGTCGCTCTATTACCAGGGACTCAAAGCTGTGGACTGTGGATTGACTTAAATCTTGAGTGTTATGGAGGCTTGTGACTCCTGGAGCGTATTATCTTTCTTTGTCCTTTTCCACAGGACCTCTGGGCAGACATTTGCCAATTCCAACTCTTCCCGCTCCCATGCCTGCTTCCAGATTCTTCTTCGAGCCAAAGGGAAGGTCCATGGCAAATTCTCTTTGGTGGATTTAGCAGGGAATGAGCGAGGTGTGGATACTTCCAGTGCTGACCAGCAGACCCGCATAGAGAGTGCTGAGATCAACAAGAGTCTCTTGGCCCTAAAGGTAGTGGGGACTAACTCAAGGTGGCTTGGCCTGGAGGGCTGCTGGTGGAGGGAAGAAGCTGGCAGTGAGAGGAAGGACAAGCCGTCACTCACTTCTGCTGCCCCGCAGGAGTGCATCAGGGCCCTGGGACAGAACAAGGCTCACACCCCATTCCGGGAGAGCAAGCTGACACAAGTGTTGAGGGACTCCTTTATTGGGGAGAACTCAAGGACTTGCATGGTGAGTAGTTGCCTTCTGAGGAGACATTTAGTCCTGTCCTTGGACAGGAAGCTCAGCACTCTTAGCTCTCTGGGTTTCAGGCTCTTAGTTAACTAGACGCCCACACCTTGCTCTTCACTATCCATATCACCGTACTAAAGCTGGAAAGAAAGGCTCTGCTCTCTTTAGGATATGTCAGTCCAGCTCTTGGTGGGAGGTCGTTCTGGTGAGAAAAGGGGTTCCTAAATTCAAAAGGACCTTTGAATAAGCAGAAAAGGGAAATCTGGTCTTTTCTAGGCTTTCCTAGGCTACAGCTTTAAATAACATTCATCTCCCTCCCTATTTCATGTTACGTGTGGCTCTTAACACTCAATCATCCCTCCCCTCCAGGAAATATCCTCTCTCTTACCTTCTGGATAGGGGGTCTTTGCATGAGAAAGGTGGAATTTTCTTACAAAACACTAAATCCTTCTAACTTGGTTTCAATTAATTCCTAGGAGGAATCACAGAGCCTTGAGATATGGCTATAGTCACATGACTATCCCAATTAAGGATAAAGAACTGGAGTTATTAGATAAGCCATTAAAAGCAGGGAACCATTTTTTTTAAGCTGTCTTAATTTTTAATGTCCATGGTGCAAATTGCCTAGCTCCTTGTGAGCTTAAGAAGGATAGTCTTTGTAATGGATTGTCTAGTGCCCTCACCCTGTGACGCGCAACCCATAACCAACCCCATTGCCTCTTTTGCAGATTGCCATGATCTCACCAGGCATAAGCTCCTGTGAATATACTTTAAACACCTTAAGATACGCAGACAGGTACCTACAGCAACGTGGGACAGCATAGGGGGCAGTGTGGGAGGGAGGCATGGCAGTGATAAGATGGAAAAAGGCACCCCTTCTGTGGCAGTGGATCTGAGGCTTGAGATTTTAGACATGGTGCTATAAGATCTATCACATATCCCTTTTTAAGCTTTGAAGGGGAAGTCAGTAAGTAGTCCATGAGGCCTTTTCCAGTTCCATCTCTAGGCTGAAGGCAAAGCCTCAAGCCTTGCATCCTATTTGCATTACTCCTATGTGTGCGAAGGAGGCTGTCATAAGACTCAAGACCTTCTTGTTTTCTCAGGGTGAAGGAGCTGAGCCCTAACAGTGGGTCCAGTGGGGAGCAACCACTCCCAATGGAAACTGAAGAGACAGAAATCAACTCCAATGGAACCCTAATCACAGAAAATGTAAGGGGTAGGCTGGGAACAGACAAGCAATGTAGCCCGCTGAGCTGGAAACTTAGCCACAACTTTTGGTGTTTCCTTTCGACCCTGTTAGTTCTCCAAAGAAGAGGAAGAGCTGTCTTCTCAGATGTCCAGCGTTAATGAAGCCATGACTCAGATCAGAGAGCTGGAAGAGAAGGCCTTGGAAGAGCTGAAGGAGATTACGCAGGTAGGGTCGTGACCCACCAGCCAGGGAAGGACGAGGTGGTACTCCACAGTGCTCAGCACCAATCCTTGATGTATTCTGCTTTGTCCCCGCGGCTTTCAAGTTAAGATGAAAGATTTCGCTCTCTACCCTAGTTTTCTGTAATCTTCCACTTACTGATCTAGTGATTCTTGTAGGGCAGCTATATATCCCAGCGCAAACTAATCTCCATGCTCCTGTCTGAGTTTGAAGGATGATTCACCTGTAGAGACCTTGTGGGGCTTATTTAGTGGATATTCACAGATACTTGGTATGTCTACTTCTATGTAGAAACCAAGGACCTAAAACATCAAGTATGACTATCAGGCCTTAAAGTAAAACTTGAGATCTAATTTTGATGCTTCTGTTTATAAGCTGATATCCTTGGACAAGTCATTCTTCTTCACTAGGCCACAGTTTGTTTGTTTGTTTGTTTGTTTGTTTGTTTTAATTTAAGCATACATTTCTTTTTTATTATTATATTAATTTTAATGAAAGTTTACAGAGACTTTGGATTTCCATTCATTCATTATTGCACTTTTCTCCCTACCCACCCCTCCCCCCAGTTCACTCCTCTCTTTGAGCAGTAAAAGAAAAATTCTTTCATTGTTTTACAATCCCTCCCCCCAGGTCCATTCCACTATGCAGCCTTTGTTCTAGACTCCTGTCATGACAGTAATACCTAATCATATATCCCTTTTAAACAGCTCTCTCCCTCATCTTTTTTAATGCAATATACATAATTTATTCCATCTTTAATCATTCTCCCCAGCCCCAATGTCAGTCCTGTTTTACAACAGTGGCACTATGCAATATTTGTCTTTTTGTGACTGAGATATTTCACTCAGCATAATGCCCTCCAGGGTCACCCATTATGTATAATATTTCATGAGTTCCTTGTTTTTCAATGCAGCGTAGTATTCAGTTGTGTGAATATACCAGAGCTTCTCTATCCATTCGTTTGTTGATGGGCACTTAGGTTGTGTCCAGCTCTATTTTGAACAAAGCCAAAATAAACATGGATGTGCACATTTCTTATTTCTAAAATGAGCAAGAGATGATGGTTGTGTCTGAAGATTAAATGATATGCTTATAAAGCACTCAGCACGGGATAGTGAGGGTCGGGTTTAATAAGCAGTAGATTCTGGGGCTCTGATCCCTGCTGCGAATAGCAGGTGTTGGGGAAAGGCATGCAATACATCTAATGACACTGTTCAGAGAGGAAATGAAGAGCTTGGGCTTGTAATTGAGGAAGAAACACGTAGGGTGAGTGTTTAGGCATGTTCCTCCCCTTCCTGAAGTGTTTAAGGGCATAAACGTTTGAAAGGACACGACAGATGACTGACAATGATTACGGCCAGAGTGTGAGGCGTGAGCAAAATTAAGGCTGTGCACAGGTCAGCCGAGGACTTTGTAATTCATTAGTGCACATTTTCCTCCTCCTCTCACCTCCAGCCCACCCTGAAATGCATCCTTTAGTCCAGATTGTAGTCATACACAGAGTACCTGTCCTATAGGTCATCTCAGAGGCCTGAGCAGAGTCATATAAGAACATCAGATACTCTCTGACCACATGTGGAGCCCGATGTTGCGTAGAGGCAAGACGAGCCTTTAAGAGACTGTAGGACTAGTTCATGAGAGACTTCCATGCCTAGATCTAGATGGGGTGTTGGCCACGAGATTGGAATGAGGGTGTGAGATTTAGGAGTCATTTCCAGGGTGAAACTGGCAGAATTTCCTGACATGTAGAGGAAAGAGTAAAGTTGTCACTTGAATATTAGAAAAGATGATGCCATTTGTTTCACCTAGAGAACAGGTAGGGAAGAGGATGGATTCAAGCTTGGGAATTTCTTGGCGAATAGATGAGGATGCAGGATATGGGCAACTTCTGTAGACCTCTGCATTACCTAGGTAAGGTACAAAAGCAAACCCTAGTGCCGTTTAGTAGATTCTGACTCTTGACAACCCTCCAGCAGGGTTCTGGGGCTGTAAATCTTAACAGGAGCAAACGGCCTCATCTTTCTCTGACAATGCGACTGTTAGGTACAAACTTCTGGACTTTCAGTTAGCAGCCCAACACATGACCCACTATGCTTCCAAAGCTTCATTATATAATGTAGGATCCCAGGAATGATTTACTAAATTGGTTTTGTCATTAGTAAATTGACTTGGGCCTTCGCTCTTTGTGTTACAGCAAGGGTCAGACTGGCTTGAGCTCTCTGAGATGACCGAGCAGCCAGACTATGACTTGGGGACTTTCGTGATCAAAGTGGAATGTGCCCTGGCCAAACAAATTAAGCACTGCTCAGCCCTGCAAGGTAGGTTTGGAGGGTGGTGTCCTCTGCTGGTCCCTGGGAAGATACAGGTATTGACAACTCTGCCCTGAGTAAATAAGGGGCCTCTGAGACTCCACTGGCCTGTGTGCAACATGACTCTTTATCTCCAGGTGTCATCAAGGCCTTGCGCCTGGCCATGCAGCTGGAGGAGCAGGCCAGCAAACAAATAAGCAGCAAGAAGCGACTGCAGTGATGACTACAAATAAAGATGTGTTTGGTTCCACTCACAACTTCTTCCCCTTCCCAACCTTGTCCAGCAGACTCTGGGTACTTAATGGGTCTAATCAGGGTCTCAGCTGACCAGGCTTTGGTAAATGTCAAATATATGGGCACATGAACTGAGGGGAGCTGGAGAGAGGGATTCAGGCATGAGAGTGTGCTTTCCTTTTCCTTCCCTGTAGCCCAATGGGAGCAATTCTGAATGTCCTCCTGTGACCCTGCCTGGTCAGCTTCTTTCTGTTTCTCTAGTTGGAACACAGCACCTGAAACATCTGTAGAACCATCCTGTGTGTTGCCCTCCTCTCCACTAGGAGGAGCTATCTCGTGGAATTTTCCCATTAGCCCCATTCTGTCTGTGTGGATGGACTGCTGGTGGGTGACTTCCTGGGGATTCTTACTCTGGGAAGAGGACATCCAGCTGTGTACTGGCACTGCCTGCCTTCCACACGCATATACCAATGACTTCTATTTTTTAAAAGTGTCTGTGTACTCCTTCCTTGCTGGTTCTAAAGGCCATGAGGATCTCCACTGTTTTCTGTTTTACATGTTTATATGTTCTGTCTAAAAATAAAGAGAAAAGATCAGATGCCTTTTGAGTGATGTGTGAGGATGACCCGGCGCCTCTTGGGGCCAATGACACTACTGCTGTTTGGCCATTAAATAACAAAATATATGGGTCTAGATTTAGAAGTTCAGGTGGATTAAAGAATCCATAGAAATGACACTGTGATCTTGAAAAAAAAATTTCTAAGTTTCTTAATGCCTCCCCTCACCTGTAAAATAAGACCACTAACACCCACCTCACAGAGTTGGAAGAATTAAGAAGTCTCTTTGCCACATTTACTGGGAGAATAAAGACTATTCTTTCAGCATTAGTCTACATAGTTACTGAGAAAGGTCTGTGGGGAGCCTTGCAGAGGGACTTCAGTCACATCAGAATAGAACTCCGTTGCAGAAAGAAAGAGTTTTGGTGTTGATAAATGGTGAGGAAACAGGAAACAGCTACTGTTTGTACCATCTTTAGCCATGTACAGAACATGATCAAGGGTGTTATACTGGGCTTTTGTTACAAGATGAGTTCTGTGTATGGTCATTTCCCCATCAGCATGATTCAGGGAAGTGGGTCTCTAGTTTAAATTTGAAACTTTTTAGGTGAAAAATGCATTCAAAGATTTTAAGACCAGGTGTTACTTGTTTAGTATTGCAAACCCAGAGAGATGAGTATTTGAAGGAAATTATATTTGAGCTTGTATCAAATTCAGCTGCTTTACTGTGGCAATTCAATTAAAACAGACATTCGGATGGCGGGGAAGAAGAACAAACTAGGGAGGAGGGTAGAGAGAATGGTGCAGCAATGAAGGAATGAAAACCCCAAATCCCTGTAAATGTTCATTAAAACTAATAAAATTTAATAATAAGAAAAAATTCAGCTGCTTTGATTCAGCAAGCTACAAGAGTTAAAAACAAGGATATCTGAAAATATTTGGAGGTATCTATGTCTCTGAAAAAGGAACTATTCAGCAGGCTGATGAGGAATTGCTAGTAGTAGTCCAGCTTCAGAAATGAGGCCAGGCAAGTCCTAAGGCACTTTTGATTCAAGTCAGCCCCTGCCTGGAACTTGTGGTGGTGATAGTGTTAATGTGCCATCAAGTTGCGTGCAACTCAGCGACCCTATGTACAACAGCCCTAAACCCTGCTGTATCCTGTGCCAAACTTAATGCCTCTAACACACCAACCCCATTAACCCAGTGATTGAATCAGTCCATCTCATCGAAGGTCTTCCTCTCTTGTGCTGTCCCTCTACCCTTCCAAGCATGATATTTCTCCCCAAGGACTGATCCCTTCCTTGCAATATGTCCTAAGTATATCAGAAAAAGCTTCAGAATCTTTGCCTCCAAGGAGAAATGTGGTTTCACCCTCTCTAGGACAAATTTGTTTGTTCTCCTAGCAGTCCATGGTCTATTCAATACTCATCTCTAGCACCACAGCTCAACGGCATCACTTCTCTCTCATCCCTAGTCATCGTTCAGCATTCTGACGCATAGCAAATAATTACAAAGACTATGGCATTGAGGACTCTCCTTCATAGGGTCGCTATGAGTCACCTGCGACGCGACGGCACTTAACAACACCATGGTCTGGATCAGATGCACTTTAGTCTCCAGACTGACATCATTGCTTTTCAGTACTTTGATGAGGTTCCTGACAGCATATTTTCCCAATGCTATTCATGTTTTGTATTTTTGTGGATTGTTATTTATTATTGTGTGTGTACGGTCAAATCAGATCTGACTGGTACAGGAGGAGATTGCCCCTCCTCCAGCAGAGTGTCTGATGGATTCAAACCACGTGCAGCTTCTTGCCACTAGGACACCAGAGGTCCCTTGCAATTCGTTTTTTAATTTTCTGTCTGCTGGTACCAAGAATGTTGATTGTGGAGTCAAGCAAACGGAAGCTGTTAACAATCTCAGTCTCCTCACCATCTATTATGATGTTGCCAGTCAGCCGGTGGTGAGAATCTTTGTTTCTTAATGTTGAGCTTCAGTCATAGTAACTTGTTTATTCAAATGGTAGATGGCTACCTGGTCAACACTGGAAGAAATCTATATTTAAAAAAAAATCCAACAAAGGGTGGAAATATCAAACAGTATCATCAATATTACATGCAGGTAAAAGTTAGCTGAAGAGTACTAAAAAATGACCTGAATAGTATATCAACAGAACTTTTAAGAAATTCAGACTGGATTTAGAAGAGGCTGTGGAATGAGTCAGCTGATGTCAGATGGACACTGACTAGAAGCAAAAAACAGAACAATTTTTTGATTCTGCAAAGGCATTTGTGTAAATTATAACAAACTATGGCTAACATTGAGAAGCATGGGAATCCTGGAACATTCAGTTTTGCTTATGAGAAAGCTAGACATACATAGATCAAGAAGCAGTTGCTTGAACGGAAGAGAATACTGCATGATTTATAATCCGTAAAAGTGCACATCAGGTTTGTATCCTCTGTACTTACTACATCTGTATGCTGAGAACATCTTCAAGACACTGGACTACATAAAGTTGTGGCATCAGGAACCTCAACACCCTCCAATATGCACATGACACAGCCTTGCTTACAGAAGTAAAGAACTTAAAGCACTTCTGAAGAAGCTCAAAGACTACAGCCTTCAATATGGACTACTTCTCAACATCAATGTGAAATACAAAACAAAAATCCTCACCACTGGACCAAAAGGCGACATCATGATAGATGGAGAAAAGATTGACATTGACAAGGTTTCATTTTACTTGGATCCACAATCAATACCCATGAAAACATCTGTCGAAAAATTAAAAGATGTTTTTCACTGAGGAAATCTGTCAGTGACTTCTCCAAAGTGGTGGTGGTGCTGCTTAGTATTGAGTTGGAGCCTACTCCTAGCTGACACTCTACTGGGTTTTCAGAGCTGGTAAATCACACGGGAGGCCCATCTTTCTCCCACAGAGCAGCTGGTGGTTTCAAACTGCATGCTTTGGGTTGGCATCACAACTCCTTCCCACTAAGCTACTGGAGCTGCTCCTCTAAAGTACTAAGAGTACTTTATCATTTTAAAGACCCAAGTGTGCCTGATCCAAGCTAGTCTTTTCATTTACTTCCTGTATGTCTGAATGAATGCCAGACAGTGAATAAGGATGACAGAATGATAATTGAGACCTTTGAATTGTGTTGGGGAAGAGTAACAAAGAGGAAGCACAATCAGGGTGCTCCTTGGAGGCAAAGATAGTGAAACTTAATCTCACTTACTTTGAATATGTTCTCAGGAGGAGCCAATAGTTGGAAAAAGACATGCCGGGAAAGGTTGGTCAACAGGAAAGAAGGCGGCCTGCATAGAAATGGATTGACATAGTGACTGCAGCAGCGAACGAACAATAGACCTTGATAATAGCACAGGACAGGGCAAGGTTCCAGTCTGTTGTTCATAAGTTGATAGTAGTCATAGTTGACTTGATAGCACCTAACAAGAGCAATGCATGCTTCCAGCTGTGATCAAATAGGTAAATACCCTGCCTTTTTCTTTTGGTTCAAATATCACGAACATTGTCTTTTTTTGCAAATTGGTGTTGTGCTTCCACATTTTTATGCTTTTTTTGGTGATTTATATATTTAAATAGTCACCAAATGTAGTATTAAAGTGGTCTTAAGTGCAAGAAGACTTTACTGTCCCTGACAAAATATTTATGTGTAAGATTAACGTAATTGCTCCTCTACCAGTCAGATCAGATGGTGCACACACAAAAAATAATAAAATTTAAAAAAAAATATTAACTTCATTGAAAGATGAGCTGTTGGTCATTTCCATGTTAATTAATATATGTTAAATAAGGAGGTATCTTTAAACAGAAACACACATGTATGTATGGTTCAGTTGACAAAATATCTAACTAGAAGTTCACAGGAACCTGACCTTGTAGTTCCCCTGTGAGCTGTGTGTGTGCTAAGTTAGTGCTTGTGGTGACTTTATAAAACATGAATTACAAGAATTAACTGTTAATAGGGGTTGTTGTGTGCCTTCGAATCAGAAACGACTCATAGTTGACCCTCCAGCAGGTTTTCCAAGGCAGTTTAATCATGTAGAAGGAGATTGCTCATCTTTCTTGAGTCAGCTGTGCAACTCCTTACCTCTAAGCCACCAGCACTCCCTAATAAAAATAATAAATAGCGGAGGAACCATATTTATCCGTTCATTAGTTGTTGGACATCTGGGTTGCTTCCACTTTTTGGTTGCTGTTAATGCTACTGTGAACAGCAGTGTACAAATGTTGAGTAACCTTCTAGTCAAGCTCTGTTGGCCTAGTGTCAAGAAGTTGTACTGCAGTCCCAGAGGTACATGGTTCAAATCCACCAGATGCTTTGCTGGAAAAGGAGGGGCAATTTCCTCCTATACCAGTCAGATCAGATTTGACGGTACACACATAAAAAATAATTAA